AGAGCTATTCACAGATGTAACAGACAGACAAAAAGGCAGAGAAAAGGTTAGATGAGCACTGTGGAAGGGGTCGAATATGACAAGCAGTTGGGCCATGATATGTAAAAGAGTCAGACAGACACAAAGGCAGAGAAAAGGGTAAGATGAGTACTGAAAGGGGTCGAATATGACATACAGTGGGGTCATGGTAGTTTAAACAGACACAAAGGTAGAACAAAGGTGAGGTGAGTACTGTGTTACACGAAGGTAGAGAAAAAGGTAAGATGAGTACTGTGGAGGCTTAGAAAAGGTAGGAAAAAGGTGAGGTGAGTACTGTGGAAGATACAAATGTAGAAAAAAGGTGAGGTGAGTACTATGGAAGTATACAGACTCAGAGGTAGAAAAAAGGTGAGGTGAGTACTGTGGAAGTAGACTAATATGCCATACAGTGGGTCATGGTAGCTAGAGTCAACTGAAGGTAGAAAAAAGGCGAGGTGAGTACTGTGGAAGTGGTGAAATATGACATACAGTGGGGTGATGGTAGTTTGAAGTCAGAGGTATATGACATACAGTGGGGTGATGGTAGTTTGAAGTGAGAAATAGGTAGAAAAAAGGTGAGGTTAGTACTGTGGAAGAAGTCGACAGTAGAGCAAAGGTGAGGTGAGTACTGTGGAAGGGGTCGAATTTGACATACAGTGGGGTGATGGTAGTTTGAAGTGAGAAGTCGAGGCATAGAGTGAGGTGTGGTAGTTTGAAGTGAGAAGTCAGCTGCCAGTTAATAGACCTTTTTGCCGTATGAGCATACGTTGCCCAGGATGTACCACGTGGAGGTAAGTCTATCGTACACCCCGCTTGTGGTAAATTAACCAGTAAGTAAACTGATAATGACGTCGGGACTCTGAAGAGCTTTAAATTTTCTTGTCTCACAAATTTTTTTGGCATTTTAATGGATTTGCTGCACATTAACGGGCCTTATTTCATCATCACACCTTTCGAATGTCCCTCCTCACCGTTAATTTGCACTGGTTTTTTCACCTTTTTTCGACTTATATACACAGATAGAGAATCATATTTTTTTAATTATTTTGGTCGCCTTAGTAATTAACTATTTTTGAAGTGCTTACCTTTTCGGTACCGCTACATAGCTGTGGTCAAACCTCAGCAAGCCCACGGAGAATCCCCAAGTACAGAACGGGCCCCCGAATTAGTTATGCTACCAAGGTCGTGGAAAGTATGACGTGTAAAGTGCATATTTCGGTTTAAATTTCGATGCCACTGGCACAGAGCTTGGTAAACAAACACGACTTTGGGTGCGTTCACACTGAAATAATTATTGGTTTATTATTGGCTGAGAGATAACAGCACTCATGACCTCATTTCTTCCCTAGCGCGATCACTAGAATGTTCGAAAATGCATGAGATTTCTTAGGTCAATGGAGTTGAGAATTCTTTCAAACTGTTGCATTTTAGAAGCTTAACTAATAAATGCGAAGCAGCGTTCATATATTACAGACCGAGTATCTACAAAATTAGCAAAATTAAGATGGCCAATTTTGCAGGCCAAATGATATACAATAGTTATGTTATAAGTAGAGTTCAAGAACAGTTACAGATGGAGAAGTGCAGATATGTTTCCAGATCCCTGACGATAATCTTTCACGAATGTTTCCTGATAACGTTATCTTCTAAATCTGTCAGTGCAGTTTCTTGTTAAGTAACAGAGCTCTTGGAGGCTGTTGAAAACCGCCAACTGTGATATCGCATAAATCTTTGAAAAGATTGTTCATTTTGAAGAGAGTTCTAGGCCAACTTTATTGGACACTTTAAAATGTCTTAACTGATAAATGTAATTGGTTATTTCCATCCTCTATTATAATTACAGCGGAGGCTCTACTACAGCAGGAGGCCAAAATAAAGCTAGCCAGTCAACGTTTCTATTCCATTGTGAATCTCCTCTAAAATGGGTACTGATTTGTGAATCCTCCCCCCCTCCCAAAAACCCCAAATATGCCATTGGAGACAGTCAAATTACAAAAAAGTTGAGTGTAATGGGATTAAAATTACATATTCGGCTGTATATAAATAAATAAAAAGCAATTTATGTTGATGATGGGAGGATTAATCAATTGTTAGGTCAAAATCTTCGAAGGGTTTCAGTTGAGAACTAAACTCCTTCAACCATTCCTCGTAATTCTGAAAGGAATGAAAAAGCACATCGTTAATTCGTTTTCAATAGGTCTGGTGGCTAACCCTCGCATGTGCTGATATGATGAAAGAGGAAAACTATTCACACCAACTTACCCGAATCACAATATGAACGGAATTCTAGCTCAAAATAATGATTAAACAAAAAAGTGCTAAATTCGTATCTGAAAACACTTACGGAACACGAAAGGATCCGAGTCTGGTTGGGGAAAAAAAACAAAAGACCAATAGGGGAGCCGAATGGGGAGAACAGCGAGGCCATAGGTTAGATAAGACTATATATAGCCACCTCTCGTATTGAAGTCTTGTGGACTTAGGAAAAAATGGCATCAGGCCTCACTAACTTTATTTGCATGCATCTTGGGCTCCATTTCCATCATCCACCTCTTCCACAATTGCTCGCCTTACGCACACGTCTTAATCGAACTACTATTTAGACCGTTTACCTAGAAGTCGAACAAGCCTGCAGATAAGCAATTATCCAACAGGCGACTTACTTATCAAAGCTAATAAAGGCATAAAAACACAACAAATTTTATCTGATCAAGAGCAGGGATTCCACCAAAAATACCCAATAAAGCCTATTCAACCCTCAATCGTTCAGACGGTAAGAACCACTTAAAAAATATGGCGGCTACACTAGTAAATACAGTTTAAACAACCCCCAATTTCTACCAGGGAAAAACAGGCCAGCTTTATTCAACAATTGTCAGTCTTTTGAAAAATGAGAAGGATGTAAAAGCACACAGGAGATTAGCGAATAGAAAGACCATTTAACTGAATAAGCAATTTAACGCACAAATCGACTTCTTGGTGTCTTTTAACCCAGAGATAAATAATTATTCAGAACTAGTGTAAGCAGCAACTGGAAAGAAAAGGACTAACAATCTCGAGATCACTACAAAAGAGCGAAAACAACGAATGACTTATAAAGCCTGATAACTAATAAAGTAAATATCCGTTGAAGTAAACTCGACAAACCCGATAGGATAGACTATTAGAGAGCACAAATATAAGATTTTCCTGTAAATTTCATAGAAAGAAAAAATTTTTTCTTATAAGTAGGAAGTCCTGATTTCAAGACAGAAAGAGACAAGTCAAAAAAAATGACACATGACAAAAAGCACAATCGTTATATCAGGACTGCCCCAAGTCCAACACCTGCGTCATTATTGCAATACAAGTTGCAAATGATCAACTTTGTACGGTAAAACAATGTAGTAAAGGAATAAAGTTACTCACCGACTGGTCTTCATCTTGAGAACGATGTCGCCTTGGTATTTTAAGACCTGATGCAGATTGTCCACTAGAGCCTGCAGGGAAAAAAACAAAACTGATACAAAGTGCCAATTATTATACGCTACTGAATTACAACTAAGTAGCATGGGAGATTATTAGGAGTGAACGTGTGTAAACTGAACAAGTTAATGCAACACCTAAAACTCCATCTACATGGTTCTAAAAAATTCGACGACCATTGATACGCATTTGAAAAAAACAATATCGTCTTTACTTAGAAGCCTATTTCCACAAATGCTTCTGACACTCACAAGCTCACAAATAAATTAAAATCGCATCATTTCCTAAAGCTCTTTTAAGTAGTACATGACGTACCTCGTGAATTAGAGTCACGCTTTGGTATGGGAGAAAGTGGCTGGGCAAAAGAGATACGTCTGACCTCTTGGTGACCCGTCGTTTCATTTTCAGCAACGTTTCGTCGTTTGACTGAAGAAACGAGAACATTCGAGACATCAGAAAAAGGTTGAACATAATCCCCGTTATCGCTGGTCCTTATTAGTGGCTTTTCTGAAAGAAAAATAAACATGTTTGCAATAAAGAGAAACAATTTAATAGCCTAAAGTGGCTATGCAAAACCAAAGTTGAGAATTACGACTTTTAAAGTTTGCAGTGATAATAGTGCGCCTTCTTTCAATTTCAAGTTTGATTTGGTTTGAGAAACACGAAAATAAGCAAATGCAGAAAAAAAGAACTTTTGTCAATAAGAATCAAATTCTCTTTTATGGCTCGAATTTAACCAGACGATATTCATCTAATTGCCTCCCTATGAAAAAACGTTGATGACAGAAGTCTAGTTTCCCATAAGAATGAAGAAGAACATGCTTTTCTAAATGAGCTTGGAAATTATCATATGCACATTAGATGCCCACTCGCAACCCTGCCAGTCCATTACGAAAAAGCCTGCAAGCAGCCTCAAGGAGAAAAGTTCCTTTTGTTATCATTTTTGCTTTAAAGTGTAACCAAGATAAAAAATACCATGTCTTGTAACATATTGAGAGTGTCTGCTTAGGATTGTTTCGCTATCAAATGTTAGTAGAGGTTACGAATACAGTCATATAGAACGCCGTTTCCAATCGTGCAGTGTTTAGTGTTTAAGCATATTTTGGATGCAAATCGTTTTTAACGTTAAATAAAAGGTCCACTACCAAATAACCATTGCTAAAAGTGCTATCCACAAAATGAAAGCTAAATTTAGAGATATAGATTCAGATACTAAAGGCAAACACAGGCCTGTACATATGGGTTATTCATCGGAAAGCATGCAATGTTAGCGAAACTGCTAAGAAATCAACGGAAATCAAGAAGACACCTATCCACCAAAATTAAACACCAAACGGGCGTGATACAAGAGCAGCGTATAGGTTATGCAAACATTACCACCTGGGGACTAACCAAGAAGACATAATTGTAAACATCATACTCCATGAATTCGAAAAAGATACCCAAAAAATAATGAGACACGCCTAGTTGAGTAACGAAATTCATCTCGAATAGATTCAACGATTATCATGCAGTATTGAATGCTCAGTAAGTTATTATTTATAATATTCTCTATTTACCGCTTTTAAATAAATACATAATAATAATAATAATTTACTCTTCTATATTCAGATGGGAAAAATTCCACATACACCGACCAATGAGATTAGAGTGACGCGTAAATGACGTCATTCTATCAACCAATAGAAAATAGACTCAAGGGATAACGCGCCCAGATAAGCGAATTATTTATTTCCATGATTTAACAAAAACGCAAAAATATACAGATAATTAGTATCGAATGAAAGAGAGAAACCCGGGAAGAAAGAGGGTAGAGCATGCAAACTCAACCAGAAACTTTCGATATTTTACGCCTCTTATCTGCACACTGATTCCAACCATAAGTCGACCTTAAGATGCCCAATTGACCCTAAGTCCACTGTGGGCCTCCAGAGAACAAAGTTTTGCAAAGTAAAATTTAAACCTTAGCCAAGTTTTCCCATAATATTCAATCTGAAGAAAAGGCCACCAAGGTCATTGCCGATCAATGAACAAGTGTAGGATATTTCAGTTGCAATTTATGCCAAACTCATTCCAACGTATTTAAACTAAGTGTGATATAAGAAAAACCACTTGCCTCTCGGCCGATATTTTTATCAATTTTCAATTTGTTTGCCTTAAAATAGCAAAATTTCAAGTCATCTACGGGAATAAGAGACTAGATGGATGACTCAGCACACTCTTTCCCTCAAAATAACCATGAGTCAGTTTCTGAAATCAATAGCGAACACGAATTCGATTCATTCGATGACTAATACGAAGATGCCAGAAGCAATAAAAGTTCAAATGCTCTAATGTAGAATTAATATGGCGGTGTTCAGATCAATAGGGGTGGAGTAAAACGAGTATTACACAGGAAAAGCTCCTTGATGCCAAATTTCCCCAAAGAAGAGTTGTAGTCATAACGCAGCTTTGTCATTGAAGTAAGGACTTTCAAATACTGATGCAAGTTAAAAGTGTGGAGTTGATCGGCAGATAATACTCAAGATTGCATGAAATAGTCATTAACAATGGGATTTGATTTTGTAAGTAAAATTGAGATGACCTAATAACATATTCGCCATGCCTCCCATAATCGTGGTTCCAACTACGTAGCTGAATGATGACAAGGACATCCGTTGGCACTTGGTGATATCAGATCCTTCAGATAAGTTGAAAAGAAAACATAGACACAATAAAACACAGAACCATTGCACCAATAATCAATAAATCTTACCCGGAAGGATATAAAGACAAGAAAGGAACTGGAGAAAGAAAGCTCGACCTCAACTGACCCGAGGTTTAATTTGCCCAATGCCTTTAATAAATCTCATGGGGTGTGCGATAGACTTACCTCCACGTGGTGCGCCCTGGATAACGTATACTCATACGGCAAAAAAGTCTACTAACTGGCAGTTGACTTCTGACTTATAACTCTTATCAACTCTTATCGACTACTGTCACAGTACTCACCTTTCCATTTGAAATAAATAAGTAAATTAATACATCTCATTTCACACGTCCACATATTGGATAAAATTTTGCTAATTATCTTATGTACTTTTGGGACCAAATAGCGATTCTTGGAAATTAAAGGAGATAAATGGTCAAAAATGACATGACAGATTCCAGAAGGCGGAATCGAGGAACAGAAAACCATAACGGGGCAAGCCAGCTAAATAGTGAAAATGTGATGGATGAAGAATTTAAAAGTAAGCTTTTCTGACATTCTAGTTTGCGTTCCCCACTTCTATTTGATCTAAATCTCTTCAAACCAGATTTTGGTGTTCCTCGAGTTTAGGCATTTCATCATTAGAACTTGCATTAATAATTTCCTATGACGGCAAATTGTACCCGAGAATACTAATCAGATTATACTCTGACTAAAGCATTCAACCAATGATATGAAAAAAAATAAAATATTTGACATAGCCACATCGAATCTCACCACAAGCATAATAAAAATAGCCAATTATTAGTTAATTGATAAAATTTAGTACCGATTTTAACCTTCATTGGTTTGATTTTCCCTCTTTGTAGAACATAGAAAATAAATCGACGACACATGCCTTTTTTAATTTAGGAAATTGATTTTCAGAACTTGTTAATTGTTTGCCTACCTTCCATCTTTCATTTCCCTTCAAAATTAAGCACCGACTCACCTTATAATGGAAATGACAGTAGGAGAAAGAAGTAATCTTGCAATATATTGTTGAGGGCAATATACCAGTGTTAATGTGCCAACTACGAAGTGAGAGGTTACGAGATCAACATTCACTCAGTGAGCGAAATGGCCAATCACACTTATTAACTTCGACTGTCGTATCGGAGAACGCTTTTCACGAAGTGAAATAAACTGATAAACAGAACAGAGCAATAAGTGGACTCACCAAAAATGTGCAAACCTTCACCATCTCTCGCTTATTTAAAAAATAACTAAATCTGGCAAAACTTACCAGATAATTTTCTCAGCGGAGTGCTGCATGGATCAGCCGTAGTAGGTTTTTCAGTGCCAATCCAATCATCATCACCAGAACCGCCGGCACATTCAATAACATCGTTGTTTTCTTCTATCGGTGCTGATTTTGGTTGCTGTGAAGACGGGGGTTGGTTGGGGAGAGGTAACCAGATTGTTGTAGCTGCGATTCTTGCACGCTCATCATCTGTCAGAGGTTGAGACCGTGTTCTAGATGACATCAGCTTAGGCACACGTTTGGTCTGCATGAGGAAAAGCTGCATCAATTAGAAAGTTTGTGGAAAGCCTCTCAATGACAAGGGATCATTACCACCTATTTCGTTAATTACTAAAAACTCATTGGTTGACATTTGTTGGAAAGGAATCCCATCATTGTAAAACAAAACAATCTAAGGAGTTTTCAACTCCACTACAAAATAAAATAGACAATTACGGGAAAAACGACTAAACGTATTTTACAAACAGTTAACCTCAATCTTTGATGAATTAAAAACAAGGAGTCAAATAAAATTAATCTAAACCAAAAAGCAAAATATAAGTTAACTGTAAAGAAATAAATAAATTACATCACACCCAATGGAACATAAATAGAAAAACCAATTCACGAGAATAAGGATCATTGAATTAGTCTAAGCAGTAAAAGAATTTTCGACATCCGAAGTTATTTTCGAGCATGCGATACCGAGAATTCCTTTGCAACGTCACGAACAAGGGAAATACCACTGTATTAGCTTTAGAACAAATTAATTTAAAGAAATATGCAATCCATGCGAAGAATACGGTTCAATATTTCTCGATGCAAAGAAGAATGGGAGACATTGTCATCTGCAAGCAGAAGTTTTAACGCGTTTAAGTTGCTGAAAACCACAAAAAACTCACTATTTTGCTGAAACTCAAATAATAGTAAAAAATGAAGAAAGTATTTTAACACTCTTTACTAAACAAGGCGGTTTGTATTTTCAACATAAGATAGTGCATCTTGTGATTTTCATTCAATAATAAATTGGTTAGCAAAAAATGTGTTCCCGAAAATTGACATGACTAAATAGATAATAAATTAAGCAAGCTTAATTATAATTTCTTTACAATCAACGAAGAACCATGACGTTACATTTCTCTGCCGATCAACACCAATGCAAGATATGCCGTAAATGCGTTAGTGTCAATAAAAATGTGGTAAGAGATTGTAAAGAAAATAAGGATTCGTATGAAAGATAAAGGGACTAACCACAGTTTTATGTTTGCGTTGTTTCGATTCCAAAGAAGACATGTTTGGTTGCCTAGGGATCTCAGGAGTTCGAGTTATAAAGAACTTGCGCTTCTTATCTCCAGTAGTCTTACTGATAACAGGTTTAGCAGAGGGAACTGCAATCTCGGTAGTGGTGGGAAAAGGAATTGGGGAACTATTTTCATCTCCACTGAGTTCGTACGGATCGCGTTCTAGTTCAATTGACTTCTGGGTTATTTTTCTGCGTTTTGAACACGAGTGTTTGGGAATACTAGCAGGCGATAGACAAGTCCGTTTTAGCGATTTTGATGAATGCACAAAAGAATCTAGAGGTTTTGTTAGGTCAATCATCTCTGTCTTCGAAGGAGTTTGCTTGGAACCCTTAAAAGTATAAAAGTAGTAGTTAATTTTACCAACTGCAAATAAAAAAATTATAAAAACAAAATAAACACACGGATCTATTTGCACTTCTTAGAACAGGCGATCGTAGATGCCTTGATTCACTCAATGGAGATTTAGTAAATGAATTATTCACAGAGCTTATCTGAAAGATAAAACCCAATAAAACAACAAATACAAAACGATAAACGATTAAAAAATATACTAACAGACTGATTCGTTTTATTTCGATGTACACGCCTTCCCACAGGACCCTGAGAATTTCCTTTATTACAGGAAGATTGTTTGACTTCCTTCTTTGAAAAAATCTGAGATCTAGTAACCTTGGAGACAAGAAAAATGATTTATAAAAATTATAATTGATTTACTTTTATGTGGGTATGATTCATGCAACCCATATCATGAACAGATTTAAATAGCAAATATATGAGGATAAAGATATCAGGGAATTTAAATGTATAGTAAAATCATTTCATTAAAAAAAATTAAATGATCAAACAACAATTCATTCAACTGTAGCTTCCATACCCTCTTATCAGTTGATCTAGTCCTCATATTTCGAAAAGTGCGCGTTCGTTCACACTTTCATTTGTCAATGAATTTAAAATTAATTTGCCTTTTTAAAATACTCCAGCTTAAAGCCACAAAAGGCAAGATCGGAAGAGCTAAAATTATTAAAATTTTTCGTCTCCTTTAATAACTTTTGAAACATGTGTTTAAATCCATCTTGAACAAATTTGATACTTAATAACCATTTATATAAAATCCAATGAATTATTAGAGTTGACTAATATCGAATCAAACCATATGAACAAAATATAGGTTTATTACACAACATTATTTTGCTAACTTACTTTTTAGATTTCACTGAGTCTATCAAATTCAAGATTAACAACCTTCCGTTTATCTTTAACAATTCACTAATTCTTTTGTAAATCTTAAGCTTGAATAACTTAAATTCAGATTACTTATTATTTCGATATAGATTATTTTTTTAATGATAATTTCAGTACTAGATGTTATTAAACTGACTTCAAAACTTAATTTATTTTACTTCAACATTTTGATAACCAGCAATGATTATAGAATAGTGCTGGGCATGCGATAGACTTTCCGTCACGTGGTGCACCCTGGGTAACGTATACTCATACGGCAAAAAATTACTAATCGGCAGTTGACTTCTGGCTTCAAACTACCATCACCCCACTGTATGTCCTATTCGACATCTTCCACAGTACTCAACTCACCTTTTTTTCTACCTTTGTTTATCTCTTTTACATCTGTGAATAATTATTCTATCTCCCTCCCCTCTCAACTTTTTGTCACTTTGATTTTCCTCCTTCTCTCTGTGAAGCCCGAAGTCAGCTAAAGGGCTAATAATAACTATTAAAACGTCTGCCACTTGAAAAAAATATAGAGTAGCGCACATTATCAAAGACGGGGCTTCACAGCCGTTCTTGATTGCATCAATGTTGATTAGTGAGATTTTAAAATAGCTGAGGTTCCCACTTTTTTTCATCTGACATGCTTATCATTAATTTACTTTTGACGCTAGTTTTGTGATCAAGTCTTTTATTTATATCTTTGCAGTGGTTAAATCTCGTAAATTTTTCTGAAATAATGTAAAAATATCACATCCTACGAGTACCTTTAATGAGCCACCAACATCGTATTTAGCCAGTCATCCGGTTTCTCGCATTTCAATAAGAAACCGAAATTTTCTGAAGAGGCTAGATATATTTTATTCTTGCCTTGCCAAGGAACTTGAATATTTTACAATTTTAAATTTGGAAAGTTTTATAGTTGGGAGAAACGAGATAACTTGGGTCTTAGTCTCCCAAAGTGAAAGCATACTCATCTTTTCTTAAGTAATTCCAAATAAAACTCCAAAAATCCTTCATGGCATGATTGTTCAAAATATGCATCATTTCTAAAATAATCAATTTATTCGGAATTTATAGTAGTAACTATCTTTTTAGTGAAAAGCGTGTGGAAAATTCTTCATCAAAATGCGGATGTTCCCAATGGGCCTCTTTATTACACGTTAATTTTGCTTTATATATTAAATTTATGATATTTGTTTATAATTATTCTTAGCCTGGTGAACCAATACTGCAATGGTCTCGCAATTAATCCGCTATCAACACTGATAAAGGCACACTGAAACGTGCCGTTTTGGAAGTTGGATGTGGAACGCTTTGTCGGCCATTGTGCCTGAGGAATTGTGATCCCATCGTGCAATAACATTGGCTTCGTTCCTGCAAATTATTCCCATAAAGTTGAGAGATTGGTCCCTTTAAATGGGAATTTATGGTATTTGTACTGGAATTAATGCTTCTAGTTTTGACGACCCAAACGTTAAACACTAAGCCTTAAACAATACTTTGGGCAAGCTTCCATTTGAATTCTCGTTGGTAAATGAGGGCTTCAAATAACAAAATTGGGAGTCTTCATCGTTGAAACATGGCCTATGCTAACCCAGAGGAATTTGATTGTCATGTATCTGCAAGAGCACAATCCTTAGATCCGTCTTCTCACAGTAAAAAGGAGGAGCAATTTGAGACGAATGGCTTTTCTATTGCAATAATTATTGGTGTTTTAATGAACGAATGTTTGATGGATTGTATTACGTTATATTATATCATATTTCGCGACACAATTCGTAAAATAAATGGGAAAGTATAGGTTTTTTTTCAATTGCAAAATGTAAATGAAAAGAAATGAAATAAGATCAAATGTACACAATTATTTTGACTTTTGTTTTTATCTAGGGCTGTACAAATATACTGTAGGATGGAAGGCAACTAATTAGCACTTTGTTGTCTCGCCTTATCCCGACGACTCCAGGCCATGAGCTCTTCTGACACCGGTGTTGAAGCTGATATAGTTGCATCTCGAAATCCCATAGTTAAAAGTTGAACTTCCGCTTCTTTCGCTCCTATTTGAGGTTCCACTTGTAATGATTGACCTTAATATGGGAAAAAACGAAAATGTGTTCCCAATACAGTGAAAAATTAACAATATATTTAATTATAAATTACCTGAAAGGCCTAACACCATTGGGGATGGGAGAATAGTGTCTGCCTCGTTTAGAATGGCCTAAAAGAAAAGTCAACATAGTATTTATTTATCAAAAGTAATATATTCAGAACCAGATGTATTCTTACATCTAAATTAGGATAGAGAATATTCCTTGGACGAGTTTGGCTACGCTGCCTGAGGTTAGCTGCCAAAACAGGTCTCTTAGGCTGGCCATTGAACGAACGAGATCGTGAGATTGCGGACTATTAAATGGAAAATGAAACTAGAAAATCAAATGCCCAGAGATTAAATTTCTACACTCTTCCTAAATTTGAACCTTACCTCCCCACCGTTGCAATCAAGTGCACCAAGTCCGAGATGGTCGAGATCAAACGGTTGCCGTAGATGTAGATTCTTAGCCAGAGTCTCTCGTAAAGCTACCTTTAGCAGAATTAATCGTGTTAAGCAAAATGCACAAGCGATTGAAATACCTTTTAGAACACCATAAATTCGTGCCATTTGTCCCCAGTATGGGTGATTGTTAGAAATTCCTGTTCGGCTAGATTAGGCAGATTTCACCCCAGAAAGTGATATCGCAATCTGAAGATATGCGCTCTGACTGTTTTAAAGGAAGTCTCGCATAACAACCTGCCCCTCGCCTTATCCGTGCATATACGTGGGCAACGTATACTCATAGGCAGTTGACTTCTAACTTCAAACTACCATGACCCCATTGTGGCAGTTGACTTCTCACTTCAAACTACCATCACCCCATTGACGGGCAACGTATACTCATACGGCAAACAAGTCTATAAACCAATGGGCAACGTATACTCAAACGGCATACCTCCACGTGGTGCACCCTGGGCAACGTGTACTTACAACCTCCATGTGGTGCACCCTGGGCAACGTATACTTATGCGGAAAAAAGTCTATTGACTGGTAGTTGACTTCTCACTTCAAACTACCATCACCCCACTGTATAGTTGACTTCTCACTTCAAACTACCATCACCCCACTGTATGCCGAATTCGATCACTTCAACAATACTCATCTCACCTTTTCTCTGCCTTTGTGTCTGTCTCTTTTACATCTGTAAATCACTCTTCT